ATAATTGGCAAAACGAAAGTCTATACTTATACCTTATTATTACTGTTTTGTTATTCCCCCTGTTAATGCCTGAAGGTGGTGGATTTGTGTATCACTTTGCGCGAATCTATTCAGCGAATCTCCAAATTATTAACGAATGTTTTCCTTACTTGACAAGACTAGGTCCAAGCAATTATTACCCCTGGTAGGCTCTGTTGCAACACAGTTTCCGAAAACAGTCCTGAACTGTTCTTCCATATACTACAGACACTGGACCCAGATTACCATTCAAAGAACTTCCAGTCAGTTTACTAAAGTTAAAACATCCCCTTACTATCGTTATTTGTCACTGTTATTTGTGTCTAGAAGAGGCCCTAAGAATTTCGCGTCCCAAAGAAGTCACCCCTCTATTGTGATCCAAGCCGAGGAAGGTCCGGTATTTTACACCTAGAATTATTTTTTCTTAACCCTTCTACAAATCTGCCCAAGCTGATTCTGTTACAGTTCCGCATCCTATTTTTATACATTGTTTTTTATTGCAACAGTTAATATTTGTCTCGAACATGTAATGGCAAACCCCTCTCCCCTCTTTCCATTACATCTATCCACATGGAACAACTTAACAACCCTTTGAGAAACTACACTTAGCAATCATATCCCTAGTCTTTAATCATTTACATCTATTAACCATACATCTACCTACTCCAAGTTTTAAAAGTCCTAAGCGAACCGCCCAACTGAGCTAGCAAGGAATACCCACACTATACAAGTACAGATTTATTAAGTAACAGGTACCGACCTACTTATGACCGATGTTCGGTTCCAAGAAGCAGTTCGGGAGTCGAAATGGACGTAAGTCGAACCTTACTACTGGAATATCAACATCACATTTTTTGTAATGACGCGATTTATTTTAATGTTTTATTTTGGTATTTCATTTTTTACAACCTCACTTTTATGGCTGATAGTGAGCTACTATTTGATCTGTAAGGTTTTAGATAAACGCTGTGTACAACACAACAGTTGTTTATTTCCCCGAAATTTGGCAGAGAAAACAAGGTCGTAAGTCCGAAATGGTCGTATGTCGCGCAGGTCGTAAGTCAGATGATAGGTTGTATATAAGAAAGTATTGGTTTGGGAAATAGGGTAGTTGAGGAGTGGAACAGACGCCTGCCAAGTAAGCGTTATCAAGGAGCTGAAAACCTTGGGTAGTTTTAAATTTAGGTTTGATAATATACAAGAGGTGAGAAGAGTTGGATTTGAGTGGGGCTTGCCCGTGAGTAAATAGAATTATTCAAAGGTTTTGCTTGGGTAGACTTTTATTCTGTAGTGGGTTGGAACAGATTAATTGTATTTACATTAATTCGCTTGGAAAAAGGTTCGACATTCGAGAAATTAGACATTTGGAGACTCTCTGAATAGGATTAATCACGAAACTCGGGTTGCACTGTAATACAAGTGTACAAATCTGACCATAAAGAAAAGGAAGAACACTGCAGCAGGCCTGTTGGCCCATACTAGGCAGGTCCTTTACAATCCTTCCCATTAACAAAATATTTGCCCAACCTAATTTTCAATGCTACCCAAGAAATAAGTTTTGATGATTCTATTTACTCATTATGCAAGGCTCGCTCAAATCCAACCCCTCTTTCTCATGTTTTTTATCTAACCTAAATTTGAAGCTACCAAACGTTTTAGCTTCAGTAACCCTACTAGGCAGACTGTTCCACTCAACTACCCTGTTTCCAAACCAATACTTTCCTATATGCTTTCGAAATCTAAACTTACTTAATTTGAATCCATTGTTGCGGGTTCTTTCTCGAAGGGATATCCTGAAAACCTTATTTATATCCCCTTTGTTAATACCCATCTTCCACTTACATACTTTGATCATGTCCCCTCCCATTCTTCGTCTTACAAGTGAATTGTTCTTCATATGGAAGATTTCTAATATTGCGTGTTACGTTCTCTGTGAATCTGAACAAGATGTCCTGTCTTGAGCAACTCTACCAGCAGAAATGTAAACACATATGTAGTACATATAATGTGATCCTTTATTGACGCCGTTTCACCCACACAGTGGGCTTGTTCAAGTCACAAGCAGATCTACCTGGGTGGACGGTACGAGAGTATTTATAGTCAGGCCGAGAATGCTGGGTCAGGTGGAGAACGCTGCATGTGATCTACCGAGTGGGGTTAACCCTTTCAGGGTTTCCGACGTACTAGTACGGCTTACTCACCAGGGTTATTTACGTACTAGAACGCCTAAATTCTAGTGCCTTCAAATCTAGTGAGAGAAAGTTGGTAGGCCTACATATGAAAGAATGGGTCAATGTGATCAATGTGCACAGTATAAAAAAAATCCTGCAGCACACAGTGCATAATGAGAAAAAAAACTCCGACCTTGCTTTTGGTTTAAAACAGCGACTTTGCAGTGTATTTTCATATGGTATTTATGGTTGTTTTTTAGTTTTCCTGGTCTACTTTTATAGAATGGAAGACATATTACAGAAATTGAGATAATTTTGATTGGTTTCATAATGAAAAGTACCTTAAAATTGAGCTCAGAGTAGCAGAATTGTTCGATTTTTACCAAATTTCAAAAGTAAACAAATCGTGCCAGTCGTCCAATACACATCAACTGGCGAGTCTGATATTCTTTCACAAGTGCACTGATATTATTTATACCATTTCTATATTAATGCAGTAGTCTGCATAACAGTAAATCTTCTGTTTTTAGTGAGAATAAAAATTCAAAGTGGAAAGCAAAAGAGATGTAAGAGGGGCCTGGGGACGTGACAAATGAACATAGAAAATGTTATTTTAGTGCCTGGAATGTCTGTCTTGCTTATTCTGGACCCTATTTGGAAATTAGCATCTTCTGAAATTTGTGTGAAATTGGCAAAATTGCCAATTTCTGACCACTTTATTGGATACTTGAAATTGGTAAATGGGTGGTTTCTTGTACTCATTCGATAGGAAAAAATGGGAGTTCTAGCGAAATACACTGAAATTGGCCGAAAATAGGGCTAAATCGCTGATACATGAACATCGTCGAGACCGATAGCTTCGCGACCTGTACTTAACTCTGTGAAGAAGTGTCTTGTGTGCTCCCGTGGACTGAACCAAGATGCCCTCCATCGAGCAACTTTACCAGCAACTTAAGGAAGAATTGAGGGCAGCGAAGATGGAGATACGGCGATTGACCGAGGAAAACGAGAGGATTCGTAGTAGTCCTCCTGTTTCGAGTCCTCAAGTCAAGAAGGGATCGTGGTCAGTGGCTGGACAGCAGGGAACGACGAAGTTGACGATCAAGAAGACGAATGGAAAGCCAGAAACGATGAAGAAGAAAGAGACTGCTGTGGAAACCTCCAACGCATTCTTGGTGCTACCCGACGAATGTGAGTCGACTACTGGGATCGTCACGACGAACGACAACAAGGAAGGTAAGAATATTGTTGTTGGGGATAGCCAGGTTAGATACATGGATAGGGCATTCTGCTTGAAGGACAGGAGTAGGAGACAAAGGGTATGCTTTCCTGGGGCTGGGATGGAGGACATTGTTAGCCGGCTTGACAACATCATGAACGGTAATGGGATCAATCCTATTATTTGCCTCAGTGCTGGAGGCAATGATGTAGGCAAGCGTAAAAGTGAGGATTTAGTTAGAAAGTTCAGGACAGCTATAGACATAATTAGGAAGAAGGGGGGGGCGCCCTGTTATATGTGGGATTTTGCCAAGAAGAGGTGTTAGTAATGAATGGTTGTCCAGAGCAATTGGTATTAATTGTTGGCTGGATAAACACTGTAAGGATAATGCAGTACCATTCATTGACAACTGGGACAACTTCTATAGCCGAAATGACATGTATTCCAGGGATGGGGTTCACTTATCCAGGGCAGGTGTGGGTTTTCTTGCTAACTCAGTTGAGGGGGTTGTTAGGACTTTAAACTAGGATTAGTTAGAGGTATGGGTTTAGAAATGATAAATAATGAGTATGGATATATTGACTTATGCTCTGATATTAAGAATCTTAATAGTAACTGTCTGGGTAATGATAATTTCAGAAATTGTGTTAAAACAAGGATGACTAGGAAAAATGAGCAGAAGAAAAAACATATGAAGGTGTTTTATGCTAACAGTCGAAGTGCAAGAAATAAAATTAATGAACTACGTTTGGTAGCATGTGCTGGGAACTTTGATATCATTGCATTAACTGAAACGCGGTATGATTTAAAGAGTCGGGATATGACTGCTGAGTGTGATATTCGGGGATTTAAGTTGTTCAATGTGGATAGATGTAGTGGGAAGGGGGGAGGAGTTGCATTGTATGTTCGAAAAAATATTAATTGTTGCATAAAAACAGGTATAAAAATAGATGGAGCAGTAACAGTCTGTTTGGGTAGAGTTCGTGGAGGGTCAAGAAAAACTAATTCTGGGTGTGATATACCGACCTCCAGGCTTGGATCACGATAGAGGGAGACTTCTTTGGGACGAAATTGTTAGGGCTTCTGGACACAGTAACATAGTCATAGTAGGGGACTTTAACTTTAGTCAAATTGACTGGAATTCTTTGACAGGTAATCTAGAGTCCAGTGACTTTATGGAAACAGTTCAGGACTGTTTTCTGAAACAGAGCATAACTGAGCCTACCAGGGGTAATAATTTGCTAGACCTAGTCTTGTCAAATAAGGAAACACTACATCGACTCAAGGCTGATTACCTCAAACTACTACTGTCCTTAACCATTTTCCTTTGTATAGACTAATGAAGCCACTGTGTGGTGAAACGTTTCCTCATTAAAGATACCCAAATGTTGCACATGTCTAATTTATCATCCATAAACTAGTAAATCTGATTGTGGTAATAACACATTTCTGGTAAAACTGAGGGAATTATACTGGAAGTTTAGTAGTTTGCGTCTCCCTCCGGTGGCATGAGATGGCCGTAGAGCTGAAAAAATATTAATAAATTAACCATTTGGTTCTCTATTCAACATTTTTTACCTCATTTACTTCAGGTTTTAGAAGAGGAGAAGCAGCTTGCAGAATTTCATGCCCATCCAATGCCTATATTTGATGGAGGAGTCCGTGGTGTGCCTCCCAAGAAGCCTCCAACCCCCACAAGACCTGAACCATTTGCTCTGAAAGTTGACGAGCGTGGTGCAGCTAAGAAAGAGCAGTATCATAAGCATTTGGAGGAAGAAGCCCAACAAGAAAAGAAACTTAGAGAGTTTCATGCTCGTTCTGATGCAGTCTTGCACAAGCAACCATTTATTCCTGACAAATCCAAGAAACCACTTACTGATGTTTCAGGATTTACTCTAAATACTGAAGTGAGAGCTGTAGACAGAAATGAATACGAGTTACATCGCAAAAGGAAGGAAGATGAAATACTGGCTGCAAAGAGAGAGGTGAGGCATTGTCCTGTTTACATTGACATAATTGTTATACAGTCTTGTAGAATAGTTGTCCTTATTATGGATTTCATAAAAAAGCCATGTGAAGTAATTTTTTTAGCATGTTTAATGTACTGTATACACCTACCATCCGACTTACGACCAAGCTTGTTTCCGACCAACCGGTCGAAAGTCAAAATTGACGTAAGTCAATTTTTTTTTTATTACCGACATACTGGGTAGGGCATAATGTCAAACCTTTTCTATATAAACTACCTACATAATACTTTAATGTAATGTACAATCATTATTTCATTCTTTTTACCATAATTTACTTCTGTTATATTTTAATTATTTATGTACTGTATATAATGCATACATGGTAGTGTAGTGGAAGGAAGGCGGGGTAGGGGTCGGCCTAGGAAAGGTTGAAGGGAGGGGGGAAAGGTTGTTTTGCATGCGAGGGGCTTGGACTTCCAGCAGGCATGCGTGAGCGTGTTTGATAGGAGTGAATGGAGACAAATGGTTTTTCATACTTGACGTGCTGTTGGAGTGTGAGCAAAGTAACATTTATGAAGGGATTCAGGGAAACCGGCAGGCCGGACTTGAGTCCGAGTGGAAGTACATGCCTGCACTCGAAGGAGGGTTTAATGTTGAAAGTTTAAAACTGTAGTGTAAAGCACCCTTCTGCAAGGACAGTGATGGATGATTGATGGTGAAAGTTTTTCTTTTTAGGGCCACCTGCCTTGGTGGGAAGCGGGGTACCTGTGATATAATAAATATTGTAGTGATGCTTATTGTAAATTTTACATCTCATACAGTGATCTATGTTAGTTATCTTGTATGTCGACACAGTGAATGGAGAATACCACTGGTAGTGTCATCCTGCCAAATGTATAATAGCTATACCAATAAGAGTAAACAATTTAAACATGTGTAATACATATCACTGGCGGCTGAGTGGTGGTTGGCAACTGGTGAACGAATTGCTCTCTCTATCTCTCATCTCTCTCGACTTCTCTCTACTCTAACTCTCTCACTCTATCTCTCTGTCTCAATCTCTCTCTCTCTATCTTCTCTCTATCTCTCTCTCTATCTCTCACTCACATCTCTCTCCTCTATCTCTCTCTCATCTCTCTCCCCTTCTCTCCTCTCACTCTCTCTATCTCTCTCTCTCTCTCTCTCTTCTCTCTCTAATCTCTCACTCTATCTCATCTCATCTCTCTCTCATCTCTCTCTCTCTCTCTCTATATCTATTCTATCATAATCTATCTATCTATATCTCTATCTCTCTATCTATCTATCTATATCTCTATCTACTCTACTATCATCTCTCTATCTCTCTCTATCTCATCTATCTCTACTCTCTCTCTATCATCTCTTCTCTACTATCTCTCTTCTATCTATCTCTCTCTCTCTCTCTCTCTATCTATCTCTCTATCTTCTCTCTATCTATCCTATCTATCTCTCTATCTATCTCTCTACTCTCTCTATCTATCTCTCTATCTATCTCTATCTCTCTATCTATCTCTATCTCTCTATCTCTCTCTCTATCTCTCTATCTATCTATCTCTCTATCTCTCTCTCATCTCTCTCTCTATCTCTCTCTCTATCTCTCTCTCTATCTCTCTCTCTATCTCTCTCTCATCTTCTCTATCTCTCATCTATCTCTCTATCTATCTCTATCTCTCTATCTCTCTATCTCTATCTCTCTATCTCTATCTACTATCTCTCATCTCTATCTATCCTCTATCTATCTCTCTATCTATCTATCTATCTCTCTATCTATCTCTCTATCTATCTCTCTATCTATCTATCTATCCTACTCTCTCCTCTCTCTATCTATCCTATCTCTCTATCTCTATCTCTCTCTCTATCTCTCTATCTATCTCTATCTCTCTATCTCTATCTATCTATCTCTCTATCTCTATCTATCTCTCTATCTATCTCTCTATCTATCTATCTATCTCTCTATCTATCTCTCTATCTATCTCTCTATCTATCTCTCTATCTCTCTCTATCTCTCTCTATCTCTATCTCTCTATCTCTCTCTATCTCTCTATGGTATATGCAAGTAAAGTTATCATACATAGTATAAATTACCTAGGATAACCCCAAAAATCCAGACAGTGCTATACAGTGGATCTGTGCTCCAGTGCCTTAAATTAATAATAATAATTATTATTATTGCAATAATACATATGTACTACTACTAATAATAATAATATTAAACTATAATATAATAATAATAATAATAATAATTGTCCACTCATTACTTGCCTTAAAACATCTGTAGTCTTAATGTAGAGTGAGAGGTGAGTAAACAAGATTAAATGACTGACTCTTTTGGGTTATCCTAGGTTCTCTACACATATGCTGCTGTGTATGATAATTCTATGTAACTATATTTGTGTATACCTGAATAAACTTACTTGCTAACGAGAGAGAGAATGAGAGGGTAGAAGGTTGGCGAGTTATGTAAACATTGTTGTTACCAGCCCGGACACACATGGTTTTTTTGTTCACTCTGTCAAGCCGACCAGGAAAACATCTCATATTTGTTAATTTATATGTTTGTGTTATGTAGCATGTTTCTTATATAATTTTGAAAAAAAAATCATAGATGGATTAAGCAAAATGTCTATATTAACATTTTATACACATTTAATGCACCTCAGTGATTATTGTTATTAATATGGCATCTTCAAGACCAATTACACTCTTAATGAGTGGCTCTGAGACAGACAAGCAGGCAGAAAGACACACACACACAGGTAGACAGACACGGGTAGACAGACACGGGTAGATACAGACACGGGTAGATACAGACACGGGTAGATACAGACACGGGTAGATACAGACACGGGTAGATACAGACGCGGGTAGATACAGACGCGGGTAGATACAGACGCGGGTAGATACAGACGCGGGCCGACACAGACACGCGGGCCGACACAGACACGCGGGCCGACACAGACACGCGGGCCGACACAGACACGCACACAGGTAGACAAAAGGACACGCACACAGGGATCTGGACAGGCTGCAGACCTGGTCCAGCAATTGGCTCCTGGAGTTCAATCCCACCAAGTGCAAAGTCATGAAGATTGGGGAAGGGCAAAGAAGGCTGCAGATGGAGTACAGTCTAGGGGGTCAGAGACTACAAACCTCACTCAAGGAAAAAGATCTTGGGGTGAGTATAACACCAGGCACATCTCCTGAAGCACACATCAACCAAATAACTGCTGCAGCATATGGACGCCTAGCAAACCTCAGAACAGCATTCCGACATCTTAATAAGGAATCATTCAGGACCCTGTACACCGTGTACGTTAGGCCCATATTGGAGTATGCGGCACCAGTTTGGAACCCACACCTAGCCAAGCACGTGAAGAAACTAGAGAAAGTGCAAAGGTTTGCAACAAGACTAGTCCCAGAGCTAAGAGGTATGTCCTACGAGGAGAGGTTAAGGGAAATCAACCTGACGACACTGGAGGACAGGAGAGATAGGGGGGACATGATAACGACATACAAAATACTGAGAGGAATTGACAAGGTGGACAAAGACAGGATGTTCCAGAGATTGGAGACAGTAACAAGGGGGCACAGTTGGAAGCTGAAGACACAGATGAATCACAGGGATGTTAGGAAGTATTTCTTCAGCCACAGAGTAGTCAGTAAGTGGAATAGTTTGGGAAGCGATGTAGTGGAGGCAGGATCCATACATAGCTTTAAGCAGAGGTATGATAAAGCTCACGGCTCAGGGAGAGTGACCTAGTAGCGATCAGTGAAGAGGCGGGGCCAGGAGCTCGGACTCGACCCCCGCAACCTCAACTAGGCGAGTACAGGTAGACAAAAGGACACACACACAGGTAGACAGACAGCTAAACAGACAGACATACACACAGACACAGATATACAGGCAGACAGGTTTCTGCAACAGTGAAAACAAATAGAGAGTTCGAGAGTAAGAGTCTTTCTTGCCACAATCTCCAGTGCAAGATTCAGACTTCATCTTAGGGGCCATGGTGAAATTTACTGTCCAGTTAGTACAGATAATACAGTATGATGCTGCCTGCATGACACATTGCCGCCGCGAGTATTGTCAAATATTGTACAGTGGTGTGCATCAGCCGGCCCAGCCCAGCTGCCAGATGCACGGTCGTAAGTTGAGTGGACGTATGTCGAGCAGGTCGTAAGACGGATGGTAGGTGTATTCGTGTTCTTCATGTGGAAGTGGAACAGAATTCTTCCTCTAAGCCATGCGTGTCGTAAGAGGTGACTAAAACGCCGGGAGCAAGGGGCTAGTAACCCCTTCTCCTGTATACATTACTAAATTTAAAAAGAGAAACTTTTTTTCTTTTTGGGCTACCCTGCCTAGGTGGGATACGACCGGTTTGTTGAAAGAATATTTTTGTCTTGAAGTCCTTGTTTTTCATAATTTGTAGTGTTCTTGATTTTCTGTTTCATGTGTAACCCATTCTTGAATATACATTGCCATTGTAAAACCTTTGCTTAGTGAAAATAGAACTTGAGTACAAGAGTGCATGAAGACTAGTGCCCGAGATTAGCATAGAGAGCTACAAAGAGAACTGGACTGTCAGTGGAGGAACAAAGGCTGTGATTGTGACATGCAAAATATTGTGGTACAGACAGGTTCAATAAGGGCAGGTTCATTTTCAGGATGTATTGAGGTGGCATGTTTAGAAATGACAGATAAATATTGTGATCAATAAAATCAAAAGTAGGTAAAATGCAATGTTTAGAACAGAGGAAGAGTACTGAGGTTCAGTATGAGATGGTAAAAATACAAGTAGTTGGCAGATAACCAGAGCCTTCCTCTGATACTTAGACATTAATGGCTTCTCCAGTCCTTGGCTCTCATGGGTTGAGTATTTTAATGTCTACTGCTCTGAATTCATTGATCACTTTCAAAAGTTATTAGTCTCTTGTTATATCCGTATTATTCCAGATACAGCTTATTAACCCTTCGACTGTTTCGGTCGTATATATAC